AAATTTAAAGAGAGGGTGCAATTTTTTATGAGATTTGCATTCTCTGGACCCAAAGCAAATTAGAGATCAAGTGTCCTTATTTCAAATGCAAATATAGGAAATAGGAGAACGCTAAGTTTATCTTCGTACATTTGTGTAAGCATGGGTTTATAAACAACTATTATACATGGTATGTTTATGGAGAGACATCCAACAATCTAGCAAGAAACTTTGGGAGGGGAATTTTTTAACACGAAGTTTGTTAGAAATAGGGCAGATGCAATGTATCGTGAAATGATAGTTGATGCAATGGTCCATAATCTAAATACAATAAGGGGCAAAAGGGTGAGGAGCCAAATAGTAAAGCAAGAGACTTTTATGATCTTCTACATGCTGCAGAGGTTCATATATGTGCTAGGGGAAAGAATGTCACAGTACTTTAATGGATGGCAGAAATGCTAAACATAAAGACTCTTTATAATATGAGTGCTACTAATTGGGAGATAGCACTATCATTGAGTTTCAAGTTGTTGAGTCCAGAGGACCAACAAAAGGTCCCAAAAGATATCTACAGTGCAAAACAAAAAAAATGATAATTGTGCTTGGACTTAGGCACAAGAAAATTAATATTTGCATCAATGATTGCTTTTTGCTTTTTGTATTATGATGAGCAAAGTAAGAATTTAACTGCTTGTTTAGTGTGTGGAGAATCCCGTTTTGAGCCAAAGAACATTGTTGCTATGAGGTAGAAAGATGTTCCAAGAAAGTCTTTGTGGTACCTTCCAATTACCCAAGATTACAACGATTATACATGTCTAGGAAAACGACGGAGTACATGACATTGCATTTGACATGCCGTGATCATGCTGATGAAGTTATTCATCCTGTAGGTAGTGAGGCATGGAAACACTTTGATGAAACCTATCCAGCATTTGCCAAAGAACCTAGAAATGTTAGACTTGGGCTCTACATAGTTGGTTTCAGTCCATTTGGTTTCTCTGTAGCACCTTACGCTTGTTGGCATGTCTTGCTTACTGTGTACAACCTTCCTCCTGAATTGTGCATGAAGTCAGAGCATATTTTCCTCGCCTTGATAATTGCTAGACCTAAAAGTTTAGGGAAAAATATTGATGTCATGCTGAGAGAATTATGGACAAATGGGATTGAAACTTATGATAGTTTTAGACAACAGAATTTTATCATCAAAGCTACACTGTTATGAACTATAAGTGATTTTTCAGGTTATGGCATGTTGTTTGGATGGAGCACACATGGGAGGTTGTCATGCCCCTATTGCATGGAGAACATAAAGGCTTTTCAACTTCAAGGGAAGAACATATCATTTTTTGATTGTCATCATTAATTTCTACCTCCTAAACATCCATTTAGTAAAGATAAGAAAAAATTCTATGTAAATAGAGTGGAAAAAGGCCCCCCTCCTTGAGACTAGATGGTAGTTTGATGAAAGAGAGGGTTAATCAGCTTTCAGACATAGTCTTTGGCCAACTACTTCATAAACAATCAATTCCAGGATTTGGTGTTTTCCATAATTGAGTGAAACGTAGTATATTCTAGGAACTACCATACTTAAAAGATTTATTGATATGTCATAACTTTGATGTCATGCATTGTGAGAGGAATTTTTTTTATAACATTAAAAATATTGTCATGGATAACAAAGGGTGTACAAAGGATAACACAAATGCTACAATGGATTTACAACTATATTGCAATAAATCTGAATTGGAGCTAATACCTCAAGATGACGAAACAACTATAAAATGTAATGCTACATTTGTTCTTACTCAAGAACAACGAGCTCTTGTCTGTTAATGGTTAAAAGAATTGAGATTCATTAATGGGTATGCATCCAACATAGCATGATGTGTTAACATGCATGATCTGGGATTGTTTGAGATGAAAAGCCATGATTGTCTGGGATGAAAAGCCATGATTGTCATGTGTTCATACAACATCTCTTGTCAATTGCTTTTTGTGATCTCTTTATAGACGAAGTTTGAAGTTCTCTAACTGAGATTCGTAACATTTTTAATGCTTTATCTTTTCTAGTTATTCGAGTTAGTAATATGGAGATGTGGGAGGAAAAAATTGTTGAGACTATTTGCAAGTTAGAGAAAGTATTCCCTCTAGCCTTCTTTGATTTGATGGAGCATTTGGCAATCCATCTATCATATGAGGCAAAAGTTGGAGGACCTGTCTAATTTTGTTGGATGTACCATTTTGAAAAGTATAGTTCTTCTAATATATTTGCACCACAATAACATTATTGAGTATGCTCAATAATTTAATCTTATTGATTTTCTTATTTGTTTAACAGAAAAATGCTTGACCTTAAGAAGAAAGTGTTGAATACAAATCATGTTGAATCTTCAATCTGTGAGTCTAACATTCTTTCAAAAATTGCTTTCTTTTGCTCACATTATTTTGGGTCCAATATAGAGACAAGATTGAATCGCCATCCAAGAAATATTGTCGATGGGAATGATGATAATGATAGTTGTTTATCTATCTTTAAAAACCGAGGTCAACCTCTAGGTGAAGAAATGCGTAAATGTGCATTGTCGCCCAAAGAATTAAAAGGTAGTAGAACTTTATCTTTTGCTTAATTATGAAGAAGTTGAGCCATGGATTGCGTATGTTCTACTGCTCACTTTCATTTTTAAGGTTAATAATATTTACAGATTATTTATTCCAACTTCTTGATGTAAGTTTTTTGAGAATTAAGTCTGTTCCGGTCTATCAACAAATCAAATTCAAATGAAACGCCAACTTGAGTTTATTCCTTGGTTTAAGACAACGGTTAGTTATTCATCATAATAATTTTTATCATTAAGGCCTTATATTTTATTTTATTTTATATTAAATATTAAATATTTTATAACAAATATAGGTGTGTAATGGAAGATACAAGGTTGATCCTCGCCTTTTTCCTTTAGTAACTGAACTTGCTTGCAATGTTAGGGTGTATAATGGTTAGTAGGTTAATGGATTTCAATTTCATACTACCACACAGGACAAAATAAGAAAACCATAAATAGCAGTATTTGTGTAAAGGGAACCACTTTTAATGATAATGAGTCAGTTTATTATGGGAGTTAAAAAAAAGTTATGGAGCTTCAATATTTTGACTTGTATGTTCCTCAATCAATGATTATGTTTAATTTTGAGTGGTATGATATCAATAAAGGCATCGTGGTCCATCCAATAGCTCGTATAGTTGACATAAATTCTCAATTTAAACTATAGACAAATGAATCATTCATATTGACAAGTCAAGACCAACAAGTGTTTTACGCCCGTTATCCATCTCAAAATCCTCATAGAAAAGGGTGGTTTGTTGCATGTAACATTAGAACAAGAGCAATAATTGACACTTCATCGTTGCGTGATGGTGTAAATGATTATTATCAGGATGATGATCCTCCTATGCCTCAATTGGTTCAACCCTCGACTATTTTAGATGATCATGTTTCGCTAACATATCAAGGGGGAGAACTAGTGGTAATTAATGAGAACATGCAAGTGTCATATGTGGCAGAGGAAGAATCTGTGGATGAGGATGAGGATGATGAAGAAGAGGAAGAGTTTGATGGAATGGAAATATTAGAAGAAGAGGTTCCAAATTACTTAACTGAGAGTGATAGTGAGTAGATGTATTATATTTAATCTTTTTTTAATCAACTAAACAGATGGATGAGTACTTATATTTTCTTTGTTACAAATTAATAAATTAAAGACATATATAATTATATTTATATTTATATCAATATATATAATTGTTTTGGGAAAAAGGAGGTGAACGACGAAAGTTGATTTAAGGGAAGAACCTAAAAAATGGTTTTATATATTAATGCTAGGTTTGTCAAATTTAGATAAAAAGAGAAAGAAGGGGTAGGTGGGTTTGTTAGAGCATATTTTTCACAAAAGTAAAGCACATGAACGCTTTTCTAAAAATAAAACACATTGCCACATATAATGCAACAGTCACAGGCTAACGAATTTAAATAACTCATTTTGCAAAAGCATCAGATTTTGAACTTAAATAAAATACTACTAGCAGTAACTTGTTATTCCTTTTCTTCAAGAACAATAATGTTGTTGTATTACAAATTTATGATAATTAAGAATGAAAAATTTAGTTTCTAATAAGCATAAAAATAAAAGTTTTGAGTTTAATTTTAAAAAATGTTTCAAGTTTTTTTAACCCTCATCATCCATGGAATTGTGAGTCCATGTATAAAATAAAAGACTAAATCAAATACTTTTTGGTCTGGCAATAGTAAAAAGAGG